AGAGGCGGGTGGTAAAAGGCATAGTCGAGAGAGTCCACCGGGAAACCAAGGAAGACACAAGGGATGGCGCGAGCCGAGAGCTTGTCCGCAGAGGTGTCGCGGACAAGCGCAATGCAGCCCCAGACACGAAAGGCCGACCCAACACCAGGGGACCAGGTCCAAAGACTGGTCGGTGAAGCCTCTGGCTGCGAGACACGCGGCTGGAGGTTCAGCTGGTGGGCGGCGTAGCGAACCACGTAGGGCCACAGAAAATGGGGCGCACGGGCATGGATCATGGACGTGCAGGCAATGTCCATGATCAAGCCAATGTGGCGCTCAGCAACCCCATTCTGCTGTGGGGACTCCGGAAGCGTCCAAGACTGTGAGATGCCCTGTTCGCCGCAGAATCCGCGAAGAATGCCGGAGCGAAACTCGCCCCCACGGTCGGAGTGGAGACAGGAGACACGACGACCACGAGTGCTCTCAGTGGCCAGAAGCCACCGGATCAGCGTAGAAGTCACCTCGGACTTCTTCGCGAGAGGAAACACCGTGGTGTACCTGGAGTAGTCGTCGACGACCACCAGAAAGTAGCACTCCCTCTCAGGTCCCTGCGTAGGGGCAGGGCCCCAGACGTCCAAGTGGAGAGTCTGGAAGGGAGCAGTGGACGGACGAAGGGAGGATGAGAGCGGAGTGGCGCGAAAGCGGCCGGCGACGCAAGGAGTGCACGGCGGTGCAGGCGAAGGAGGGAGCGACGCAAAGACGCGAGGGAGACCCGAGACAAGACGGTGTCTAGCCATGCTGCAGAGGCGGGGGATCGATGGGTGGCCAAGACAGTGGTGCCACAAGACGGTCGGGTGGGCGAGAGACCGATAGGAGCAAGACGCAGCAACCTGACCAGACGCAGCAACCTGACTAGACACAGCAACCAGAGGGGACGTAGTAACTTGGCCAGACTCTGCTACCTGGTGGGACCTAGTGTGCAGAACGAAGAGACCTGAGTGGGGCTCCTTGGTGAACGTGGCAAGCAGAGCCCCGGTGGAAGCATCTGTACAGATCGCCGTCCTCCCGTGCGCAAGAAAAGTGACTGTGATCCCACGGTCCTGAAGGTATCCAACACCCACCAAGTTCCGAGAGAACGAGGGGATGTAGAGACCAGTGAGGAAACCAGAAGGGACAGCCGGGCACGGGAGAGTGGTCGAGCTGCGAGCGACTGCGAGCAACCCTAAACCAGAAGTAGGATCAGCCAGGGCAACTGGGACTGGAGCCGAAAGAGGTGTGACAGTGGTGTGGTCGTGGAAGAAGCACTGCGACACGCCTGAGTCCAGCGTAAAGGAGAGCGACGCGACAGCAATCGTCATGGCTGGACTAGTGACTACACAAGCACCTACACTAAAAGCACAAGTACCGTATTACCCCGGATAGAAGTGCAGATGCGCTTATAATAAAACAGTGTTTTGTAGGGGGTGAGCTTCTAATTGAGTCATTTTTATAAGCGCATGCGCCTGTAATAGGGAAAAAAATAAAATCCACTTTTAAACATACCAAATTGAAGCCCGCAATAAGGCGAATTCAACCGACCATGCAACACGTGGGATCGTGCATGGTTCTTAGGCAAAAACAGCAGTGGCTCGGTTTCCCACTGCACAATTTTGTCTAGAACCATCGAACGTGACAGCAGTGACGGGGATGTTGCCGTACGGCCCAACCACAGCCACATGCGCTGCGTGGCATGTGCATTTCTTCCGAACCCTCTCGAAGGGTGGGGAAGATTCCATGCCAGCGCAGTGTTTATGCTGCCACGCAGGGTCCTCTACGGGGGTAGGCGGGGGTTTCCCCCCTGTCATTGATGAGGATCCCGAGGCGCCAACCCTACGGGGTCCCCTTCGTTGCCCATTTGTGCACCCTCTTTCTCATTTTTTTATCATTCAGATTCCACGACGACGGGTGGTATACTCGTGAGCCACCAGCGCCTCCAGTGCCACCTGAACCCCCTGCACCCCCTGCTCCTCTTGCTCCTCCTGCACCTCTTGCTCCTCCTGCAGCTCCCGCTCCTCCCGCTCCTCCGAATCCGCCTAATATCGGTATCGGTACTGGTGCTCACCAACGGCCCGTGCTCCAGCTGTATTTACCAGCCACTTTCGACGAGTGGCTGTCATAAGTGGACACACCCAAGGCCCCCGATGTGTTCATCCAGGCTCCGCCGCCTGCACCACGGTGGGGACAGCCTGAAGCCTGCACGTGGGACGAGTCGGGTGTGGGCGCCGACGATGACGTGGCCGCCGATAAACAAAACAGCGGCGACGACGTTGGTGGAGGGGACGGTGAAGTGGGTGCCGAGGAGGACGTGTTCCCAGATTGTGGTGCAACTGCCGAGGACGACGACGGTGTGGAGTCTTGGTGGCGCGACGCACCACGCGATTAGATGCCGACACCGACGTATCCGCCGATTAACAAAAAACGCCCCCACCCCTCCTCCGAGAACCGAGATGCCCGCCCCCCCTCTCCCAGGCACAAGCCGTCTCAACATAAACGACACTCCTACACCGCCCAGGAGAAACTCAAGTGGCTCGTGCAGCTGGAGCTGGCGGCATCGATAAGCGAGGTCGCGCGGAAGTCCGGCATACACCGCAAATGCCTGACGGAGTGGAAAACCCAAGCGGAGGAGCTCAAGGCTTCACACGCCGCAAGGTGTCGACTTCATGGGCGCGGGAGGTCTTCTTGGTACAGACCCATGGAGTTAAATGTGTACGCTCAACTCTTCGACTGGCGACACCGCGGTGTTGCAGTTTCAATCGGCCGGCTCCAAGATTGGTCACGCGAGGTGATGAAGGTGCTGTTCCCGGAAGTCAAATGGAAAGGGATTCAGCGGTGGTCGGAGCGGTTCCGCAAGCGGTGGAACCTTAGCGTGCGCATGAAAACTAAGGTGGCGCAGAAAACACAGGAGCGTAAGTGCCTCGTTTCTCGCTTACCTCACGCGAATTCGCATGGTGTAAGACTTGTTGCTCCCATGTGAATATCTTTATCTTGTAGCGGTACTCATCCTTATTCCTATCTGTCCTTCCCTCCCCATGCACAGACGTGGCGACGCATTGCAAAGAATTTTGGCAGTTCGTCCGCGACGCACGCAATGAGTATGCGATCGACAATCGATACATAATCAACGCCGACCAGACGCCTCTGGTTGGAGATGCTGGCCACTACCACTATGGAGCAGACGGGCGTGAAGTCGGTGCCCATCCGTAGTGGTGGTTACCAGAAAGAAAGAGTCACCGTCATGCTGGCGTGCACGGCGACGGGCGAGAAGTTGAAGCCGTGGGTGTTTTTCAAGCGCAAGACACTGCCAAAGGGTGACTTCCCGAACGGTGAGCACATGTTATTGTGCGTGTTTTGGACGTTCAAAACAAAAAAGGGATTAACCACCGCTTGCTTGTGTGCAGATGTCGTGGTCGGCTGCCAAGCGAACGGGTAGATGGAGGCCACGGGTGTCATCCAGTGGCTCGACGAGGGCGTGGTGCTGTTCCAGAAACCGAAATTTGGCGTGCAGAGTCGGAGCGCCATGCTAGTACTCGACTCCTACCGTGGTCACCTTACCAAGGAAGTCAAGGCGAGATTCGCGGCGCTCAACATCGTGCCGGCGGTCATCCCGGCGGGATGCACGGCAGACGTGCAGCCGCTCGATGTGTCAGTGAACAAGAGATTCAAAGCAAGTTTTTGCCAGCAGTACCAGTCGTGGTTTGAGGCGGACGGCATGAATATTCTGACACCTGCAGGTGAGCGACGACATGTCCTCCCGTCTCCCCTTCGTGTGCTTGTCTGCCTGCTTGTGGACTAATGTGTTCCCCACTCCCTTTCATGTGGTGCAGGGAACATCAAGAAACCACCCCCGCTGGTGGTGCTCAAGTGGATTTCACGGGCGTGGAAGGCTGTGCCCGCGGACCTGATTAAGAAAGCCTTTCTCACGTGCCGCATCAGCAATGCCCTTGAAAGCTAGCCTTGCTTTAGCTATAACAATAATGACAAATATTCAACATTTTTTTTTATTTTTTTTTACTGCAAGGGTGCGCTTATAATAAGTAACGATTTTATAAGGGGTGCGCTTCTAATTGAGGATCGGCCATAAGCGCATTGCTCCATATATAAGCGCATGCGCTTTTAATAGGCCTGCGGTTATATCCGGGGCGATACGGTACCTACACTAGCAACAGGCAAAGGTCCTAAGCTAGGTACACGCAAGCCAAGAGACCCATACGTGACAGAATAAGCGGCATCCATAGACATATCAAACACAGGGTAACCACTACGAGACAGACCGGGCCAGATCGGTGGCCTCGACTCAGGCCCAAAACGCTCACGGTATAGGTCGTCGAGGCGGCTGTAGTAGCACTGTGCAGAGTGGTCAGGACGCCTGCAGGTAGTGCCAGCACCAGGGCCGGTCAGGATCCGGTACTGGCAGGGGCCGACGTCGCGGCCACTGCGACGAGCCCCCAAGCTGGCTGGGCCGCTGCTGCAACCAACGCTACCCGAACCACCAGCCCCCCACGGCTAATTACAGTAACATTAGATGGCTTGATGAAGAAAACATCGGGCAAGGCTGTGGCCTTTGCTATCAGAATTAACGAGCTTCAGTTCTTTGTCTGCATTCTACAGCTGAGCGACATCACTCATACGTTCCTTGCTCTGATGCTTTCTATGTAAATGATATTGTCGAGTGAGTGCATTCTTCCCAACTACTGCAGCACACATTGGGAACTGTTTATGCTTATGATGTAGAAGATCACATTCTTGAAACGATCTCATTGTTACGGGTAAAAGTACAGAGCAGTCAGCATGTCGTCCAGGGAATTGAAACAAAATAAATACCGTTAGAAGGAATGAGATAACAACCCGTTTCTGTTCAGCCGCATCCAGTATGAATTTCCTCTTGCTCATTAGACATCCAACACGTGAATATCAGCCCATCTGAAAACTTCACACCCACCATTCCTACTCCTGTTATGAGTATGGATGTGAACAATGGCAGGTCAGATTTGAGGAGGGCTCATGTGAGGCATGGTGGACTGCGGCAGGGAGACTGCAATGTGCGGCAGGGTGATCTGCCCGCCTGCTGCCTGCCCTGCTGCCTCGCCCTCCAGCAGCTGCACCACCTGTGAGGGCCAAGAGGGATGCAGAGATGGCGAGACATGAGGGTCGCGCGAGATTCGGCAGAGCAGGGGGACTTTTGGTCAGGGACTGGAGCATGGTCGAAGAGAGGGTACAGCTCAGAGCAGCACAGTGCAGCATGGGTATGTGCCGCTGACAGCAGGGTGGCACTCACGTGGGACATGGCGGGGCGGTCATCGGGGTGGTGGTGCAGGCAGAGGAAGATGATGTGCACGAGGCATCGCAGCTCGCCCTCGTTGTAGTCCCCAAACAGCAGCGGGTCCACCAGCGCCCCCAGCTCGCCCTTCGCCACCACCTCCTCCGCCTGCCAGTGCATGGAGGGCAGGCGCAAGGTGAGCGAGGATTCAGATGAGGAAGATGAAAGCAGTAGCTGAAGAAGCAGGAGGGCCCAGGATCCCACTTACATTCCAGTTGCAAGAGTGATAACAAGGCCGTGAGTGGGGGAGAGTAGCGTGAGAGTGTGACTATGTGCATGTGCATGTGTGTCCCACGCACCCAGGTGACCAGTTTGGAGTCGCCGAGGGGAGAGCGGCCGGTGACGAGTTCGAGGAGAAGCACACCGAACGCATACACGTCCACCTTCTCACTCACCGCCGCCCCCGCCAGGTACTCCGGTGCCACGTACCCCCACGTGCCCTGCACCTGCTGGGGGACAGGGGGGAGGGGGGAGAGGTGGGGTTAGAGCTGCTCCACACATGGACAAGACGGCTGCAGAGCAAGGCAGCAGGTTGAGAGGGATACAGGTAATGCAGCGGCTTCAAAAGGAGGGCGTGCAGTGGGGATCAGCATGCACTGTACGAAGCATGGCCTCTCTCCCTGGCCACTCAACATCCGGGTGCACGCACGCACCCGGGTGGCAACATCTCTCTCGTGGTCATGAAGCATCTTGGCGAGCCCAAAGTCAGCGATGCGCGCCTCCATGTTGGCGTCCAGCAGCACGTTGCTGGGCTTGATGTCGCGGTGCACTATGCGCGGCACACACCCCTCATGCAGGTATGCCAGCCCCCTCGCCACCCCCAGTGCGATGCGCACTCGTGCTGACCACGGCAGCCTTGCCTCCTGCCCGCCTGGGGGAAGCGCGAACCACAGGGGAGAGTAAAAGGGTGGGAGCAAGAGTGAGATGGGAAGGGTGGGGAGGGGGACAGTGACTGAGAAGCTGTGTGAATGACAAGCTGAGAACTACAATGGCACTGGCCACAGACTGCGCAAGCAGCAGCATCTCACCGTGAAGGTGCTGGGCGAGGCTCCCCCGGGGCATGTACTCGTACACGAGCATGCGGTGCTGGCCCTCGCTGCAGAACCCCACCAGTCGCACCAGGTGGCGGTGCCTGACAAGGCTCAGCAGGTCCACCTCCGTCTCGTACTCCCTCTCGCCCTGCCCGCCCGCACCCGCATCGCCCTCCTCCCAGTGCAGCACCTTGATGGCCACTGCCTCACCCTCCTCGCCCTCGTCTAATGCCGGCAGCACGCCGTGGTACACGTGGCCGAAGCCCCCGCGGCCCAGCAGCGCGGTGGGGTGGAAGCCGTTGGTAGCCGCGATCAGCTCGTCCAGACAGAACAGCAACGAGCCCTCCAGCCGCGCTGCTGCTGCCTTCTTTGCCTTCTCCGAGAACACTGCAGGAGGGGGGGAGGACAGGGGGTGGGAGGGAGGAGAGGGGACAGATGTGAGAGAACGGAAGAGGGAGCGTGTGCAATGGTACAAAGAAAACGTTTTAGAGCCAGGGGAGAGAGGTAGAGAGGGAGCGAGCATCAGAAAGCATGCGGATTTGATGAGTCACCTTTGGTCTTGCCGCTAGAGTCTGCAGAGGTCCACTTGCCGCTGGCCCCCTTCTTGCCGCCCACCCCCGAGTCAGGCAGCCAGAGGCTGACAGCGTCTCTGGGGTCGCCCTTGCCCTTCAGCCCCTGCTCCTCCTCCTTCCTCCGCTCGCCCTCCGCACGCCGCATGTGCACCAACACCAGCGCTGCCAGCACCAGTGCCGCCACCCCTGCCACTGCTGCTGTTGCGATGCCCGCCACTGCTGCTGGGGAAAGGCTGGATGAAGGCTGCTTCTGCTGCTGCTGCTGCTGCTGCTGCTGCTGCTGTGAGTCATTTGACGATCCTCCTGAGGTAGTAGAGTCAGCTATGACAGGGGAACGTGCTGGGCATGGTGGGTACCCAGGGTGGTTGCAGAAACCAGCGTTGCCATCCAGACTGGCAGGGGGGAGGGGCGGGAGAGGGGAGGGAGAGAAGGCAGGAGAGGCGACAGAAGAGTGGTAGGTATGGGGAGGAGCAGCAGGGGAGGGAGGGTGGCACGTCGGGCAGGAAGAATATGGCAGCGGGGGAAGGTGAGGAATGGGATGGGGTGGGGGGAGGGTGGTGAGTATGGAGGCAGAGTCAGGCAGGTGGTGGTACACATGCTCAATGGGACATGGAGTGGGCGGTGGAAAGTGGTGGAGAGGAGTGGAGAGGGCACTTACAGGAGAGTGGACTGCGAGAGCATGAGCTGCTGGGGAATGTCGCCCTCCAGCTTGTTGTGACTCACATCCCTGCACACGTGAGAGGGGCGGATAGGAAGTGAGTTTAGGTCATGGGCGATGCGGGGAGGGAGGTGAGTCGAGGACGGGCGCGAGGAGGGTGGGGAAGCAGCAGTTATGGTTGAAGGAAAAGGGCACGGGTGAAAGGGAGCAGCACGAGAGACGAGGCAAGGAAGGGGAGAGGAGACTGACAGGATGAGGTGGCAGTGACAGGATGAGGTGCCAGTGAGACGATGAGGTGGAAGTGAGACGATGAGGTGGCAGTGAAAGGATTGAAAGAAGCGGTTATGGTTGAAGAATTGAAAGAGGAGATGGCAGGAGGGGGGGGCAGCACTGACAGGACGAAGTGTTTGACGTTGCGCAGCGAGTACTCGCCGATGCTCCCAGGCACGTACCCCGTCAGCCCGTTGCTCGACAGGTTGCTGCCCGCCACGCATGCATGGGGGGGCGGGGGTTGGGAAGAGTTGGTTGAAACGCTTGAGACGATGCACGGAAGGCAGAACAGGGGTGGATGGGGCATGGTGTATGCGTGATGCATGGAGCGTAGTGCATGGTGCAAGGCTAGCAGGTGCAGGCAGAGCTGAGGGGTGGGCGGGATGGGGCTCACAGGAAGGGCGAGAGCTCAACGAAGGAGCACTCCTTGTAGATCTGCGGGATCTCCCCCGTGAAGCCGTTATTTGAGAGGTCGCTGCACACACAGGGCAGGCAGGGGCAGACCGGGTAGGTGAGGGGAGAGGTGCAGAGGGGCGTGGCAGGGAGGGGAGCAGATCACGACCCTTGATGTCATGGGGTGGAGGAGAGTCACGTTTTTTCGCGTGAAATTTGCATGGCGTGAAGGAACTGTGTGCGCAGGATAGCAGCGGTGTAGCAACAGGTGAGGGCGTTACATGTAGTAGAGCGAGGGCGTGGTCTCAATGGACTGGGGGATGGACCCCGTCAGCTTGTTGCTCTGTACATCGCTGTGGTGGTGGGGGATGGATGCAGGCAGGGGGGAGAGAAGGGAGTGAGGAGGAGGAAGAGAGGATGACGGTCCAACAACGCAAGCAGCTGAAGCTGAAACCAAATGCTAGCCATTGCTCACATCCATGCTGCTTAACATCCATGCCTCCTGTCTAAGCCCCTGCCCTGGCCTCACAGGTGCTGCAGCGATGTGGCGGTGGTGAAGTTTTCCGGAAGGGCCCCTTCCAGCTCATTGCCGAATAGAATGCTGCCATTGGGCGGGGGAGAAGAGGGTGAGATGGGGGGTGGGGGAGGGGGGGGGGAAGGAGAATGTCGTCATATTGGAAACCGTCGGAGACACGTTACGCTGAAACGGGGACAAGGTTTAGGAGTGCTAAACGGAATGGAGATGGATAGTGCAAGAGGTGGGACGAGGAGGAAGCGGAGGAGGAGGAGGGGGAGGAGGAGGAGGAGGAGGAGGAGGAGGAGGAGGAGGAGGAGGAGGAGGAGGAGGAGGAGGAGGATGAGGAGGAGGAGGAGGAGGCGGAGGAGGGGGGTGAGGAGGAAGAGGAGGGAAGAGGAATAAGGCACTCACAGGTTGACAAGGGCAGGCGAGGCGATGAGAGGCGGGGGGATGGCGCCTGAGAGGGCGTTGGTGGAGAGGTCTCTGTTGGGGTGTGGTGTGGGAGATAGGAGAGGAGAGGAGAGGGGCATGAATAAGAGCAATTCCACAGACAGAGCAGGTGGCTCTCACATCAGGAAAACAGGGGTGCGAACGGAAAACAGAGCCATGTGACTCACATGTGGGAGAAGGGGTGCGAGGCGAGCTCCTGTGGGATCTCCCCCGTGAGACTGTTCATTGACAGGTCACTGCATGGCACACGGGGGGTGGCATGGGGGTGGGTTTGGCAGGGGTGGTTACCGGTTGCAGGCAAAGGCAGGAGTTGGCACTTCATGTCAATCCTTCAAGTACGTGACGCACACATTTGAGCTGCAACCACGCACATGCACACCCCTCCAGCCACTCTGCATGATTTGCAACCATGCCCCCACTTTTAATTATGCCCTCCTTCTAATTCCCCCCGTTGCTCACATGCGCAGCAGCGAGGGCATGAGCGGCAGGTGCAGGTCACTGAGGCGCCCTGACAGCCCGATACGCTGCAGCGTGCTGCACAGGGGAGACACGGGTGGGGGGAGGAGACAAGGAGCGTCAGCGAGGAAGGGTTCCAAGCCACAAACAGATGCTTTGCCAACAGGACTTCCAGGCTTGGCAGAAAAGCTCAGCTCACAGGCTGGGCAGTACAGCTCACAGGCTGGGCAGTACAGCTCACAGGCTTTGGCAGTACAGCTCACAGGCTTGGCAGTAAAGCTCTTAGGGTGGGCATAAGAGCAGAGAGGGTGGGCGGGAGAGCTCACAGGTCCTGTAGGCGCGTCATGTTGGCGAGGGCGAGCTGGCTGGCACGGTAGTTGAGCGCCGTTGACATGAGCGCCCTGTGGCCAGCGGGGAGAGAAGAGAAGGGGGAACAATGTTGTGAGGAATGTGGGGCACATGAGAGGCATGATGGGGCATGGCATGAGATGTGCAAAATCGGTTGGGCACATGAGGTAGGTAGCAGGGAAGGGGGGAGGTGGGAGGAAGAGGCAGGGAGAAAAAGAGGGGTAGGGAGGGTGGGAGGCTCACAGTTGCTTGAGGTGCGTGAGGCCGTTGATGATTGGCAGTAGCGCTGTGGCGTTGAAACTGACCTGCCCCAACACCCTGTTGATCATGGGGGACACGCATTCACGCACACACACACACACACACACACACGCACGCACACACACACACACACACACACACACACACACACGCACACATGAGGCCTTCAAATCGCTTTTAGACGTGCACTGACTTGCAACGGATACATTCACGTGCACTGACTTGCAACGGATACGGATGGTTCGGGTGAACTCACAGCGACTCGAGGTTGGGGAGGCGCAGAACTTGAGGCGAGAGCGACCCCACGAGACCTGCCCGCAGTGAGCTGCAGGGCGGAGAGGAAGGGGGAGGTGTAGGGAGGGCGAACGGGGTGAGGATGGCTGATCCGCAGGTACTGACATTTGAGACATGGACGTGACAGGCTGGCATAGGTGCCAGGGTGGCACACATGGAGGTGCCAGGCTGGCATACATGGAGGTGCCAGTCTGGCATACATGGAGGTGCCAGGGTGGCATACGTGGAGGTGCCAGGCTGGCATACATGGAGGTGACGGTGGCGGCGCCGGAATCGGAGATGTTGCAGATGATCTCGGGCGTCCACCCCAGCGGCCCACACGGGTCAAACTCGTCCGCCCAGTGCGGCAGCCACTCCCGCGTTCGTTATGCCATCCCTCACCGCCCGCAACACCTCCACTGATTCGCACACACGCCGAGGGAGGGGGGGAGCGGGGGAGGGTGGAGAGGAAGGAACAAGAGAGTGACAGAGAGAGTGAAAGGGACATGAGTCAGTGGATGGGACACGAGGAGATTTTTCGTAGACGACAAGATAAAGGAATGGTGCGGCGACAGCACATGAGACAGCCTGTCTGAGATGAAGAGGTGCTTCAGGAAACCGCACACAAGGAGCAGGCACACATGGACTAGGTAGTAACACTGGAGAGAGGAGAAAGCAGGAGCAGAGGTAAAAGAGAAGCAGAGCAGCGGCACACGCTGTGAGGCCACTCGGGGAGCGGCGCACCTTCCGCAGGGTCAGTGACGATGGCTGCTTCCACCGCCGCCCATGACGGCGGCAGCACGGCGAGAGCCACGGCCAGCACGAGCGGCATGAGATGGCGCAACCCCATGACGCGGCCATGGCCGCCTGCCTTGGTCCGAGTCATGGCTTGAGTCGCTTCACAGACAGTTTCTGTCTCTAGCTTCCTTTGAGGGCGTTCACGACTAGTAGTGGGGCGATGACACGCACGAAAAGACACGTGTGTTTTTTACCAACTACTATAGTACTAGTTTCAGACGGAGTTTTATTATGACTCCTCGTGGGGTGCAAGCATGGAATGGCCAACGGCAGCGTGGCGCGCATGCAAGCAGAAGGGGGGAACCAACCCGCAGTAGGTCAATATGTGCTGGTGCGAAGGTAAGGCTTTTCTTGCAGCTGTTACAGCCGTGGTTAGACAACCTCCTTTCTGGAAAGAAGTTATTGGGGCAACCTGCGGCGTTACTATTACTAACAGAGTATCTCGCGGCGCAACAGCCGCTGTGGAATGCCACCATGGCGCCTGCCAAGAGGGCTGCTAAGGAGTGCCAGCCGAACCGCGTTGCAGCTGGTGGATGTCAGAGCAGGGGCGGAGGGAGGGTGCGGGTAATTCCAACCGTCGCCTACTTGGCGGTTGCTTTTAGCGACAAGTACCCCACAGCAGTGAGAAACACAACCGTCGCTGGTTTACGCGTTTCAAGATGCCGCAGCAAGCGATCTTGCAAACCAAATATTAGCCGGGGTACAGAGAAATTTGACTTAGACTGTTCAAATACATAAAGAATTCCTGGCAGACAGCTACAAATTATACGTTGAATAGTTACACTCTACCCTGTCAACATGTGTTTATTTTTTTGGTGGGGCAACTCAGGGTCCATATAAGCATTAGAATGGATGAAAAATCAACCCTCTATTTTACGTTATATTATTGTATTTCTCAACAAAGCGGTACCGTATGATGCCTGCCTGGGCCTGGCTAATTTGGTTGAAGTTTCACAAAAGCACAGAACAGACTGAATAAAAGCCTTTATTTCTTTAACAAGGATAACCCAGTCGTGTGTCTAATTACAGAGCACGGATAAGCAGCAGCGACTCTACAGCAAGCGAGTCATCATCAGCCAGCGATTGTGCCTCCCCCACACTCGGCACGTGCGTCGGTGCAGCCCCCGCGGAGGACGGGTTCGTCGGGAGAGCGAGGGGCGATTGTTTAGACGGAGGCGCTAAGGTGAGGAAGGTGTGGAGAGGCGATTGTGGGGGCCCGTTGCCACAATTCACGCGCACCGTCGGCTCATGGGAAGGTGGGATGGCCGAAACTTGTTCCGGAAAGGACGAGGGAGAGGCGGAAGGCGGAAGACCCTGGGCGCCGGCGGGAGCTGCGGCAGCGCCGCTGGTACAGGCATCGCGAGCGCTCAGCTGGATAGCGGGTTTGCTGGTCACGGACTGGTTGCGCTCGAGAGGCCAGGGCTCCCTGGCGGGTTGCGATAAGCACCCCGACGACAACGGTAGGAGCGGTGGAAGCATGTGCGACACCTGCGGGCTGCCCGTTGTGCCGTCGTCGCTGCACGCGCTGAGCGACACGCGCGTCGTGGGCTGGCACGTCGCTGGCGTGCTTCCGGGCCACTCGGCGGAGCCGTGCGCTGGCGGGAACACCTGGGCTGACGGGGGTGCATGCAGCGTGGGAGTTTGTGAGACGGCTGCTGCACCACCCCCGTTGCCCGGGGGAGCCTGCGACGCCGCGACCAGCGATGAGGGTGGCGCCCAAGCTACGGGGCAACTGCTCGTCGTAGGCGATGCAACAGGGAGCTGCGACGGAGGGCTCGGGCAAGCGGACGACCAACTGGCGTAGTTTCCGGCTTGCGCCGCTGCACCCGTGGTGGGCTGAAACGGCCAATTGGGTGCTGCTTGACTCGCACTGGTAGGCGTGGGGACGGACTGCTGCAGCACTTGCGCCACGCTGGGCGCTAGCAGCCCGAGTTTCGCTGCGGTGCTCCCAGGCGACGGCGCGAGCAGGCGGCGCGGAATGCCGTCGACGACGATGTCGGGCGCCGTGTGCATGAGGCGGCCCAGTGCCGTGCCGTGCAGCGCCTGCATGCCGCGCGCGAACGCCAAGGGGTCATAGCTCGCCCGCGGAGCCAGCAGGGGCGGCGGCGGAGTCGTTGAGAAGGATAGTGGAGCAGAAATTGTGAGCGGGAGGTGATGACAGGAGTGCGCGGGGTGTAGGTTGCGCCGCTAAAAGAGAGTCCAGTGCGGACCCTCTCGCCGTTGTGGATTCCTGTTTCTGACGTGTTGCTTCATGGACTGCCGGGGCCGTTGCCTTCGCGAAAGTTGGAGGAATGCTGCGAAGTCTCGCGGCACCTAGAGCCAGCGACGAGGTGAACGAGGAGATGGGAGAGGGGGTACGAGGAGCGAGCGCGGCGCTCCCTTGGCCAGCGGGTGGCACCGGTAGCTGAGGCGATGGCGTCACGAGGTGCTTCCGCGGGCGCTCCTGTCCGGTCAGACCGCCATCGGGAATGGACCGCTTCTTGCTGCAGCCGCCCGCTCCTGGGCGCGGTAGAATGGCGCGAAGGCGTGTCCTATTAGGCTCTGCTATTACCTGCCCTGCGCATGCTGGGGAATTGCCTTGTGGAGGGCACGACGGGTCCATCGAAAGAGACTGGAAAGGAAAAGACGGGGGCCCTACGCTGACAATGTTTTGATGTAAGACAAGTGCTGCCATGACTAGGTTTCAAGTTTCCTGGCAAAATAGCTGCAAAATATATACTAAATGAATGGATGATGGCGCCCGCTGAAGACTACGCGGAGTGGCTGATTAGCTGGTGCCGACAGAAAGAAGAGACGCAGAGCTGGTGCCACGCGATGAGGTGCAGCAGCTCTGTTCCACTCTGCGCAACGACTCGAATTTATTTTCGAAAGTTTATTGGCGTTGTTTCATGCGCGCCTCATATTTTTGCTTTCACTGACTGCCGTTCGAATTCACCTGTCTGTGCCGTATGTCTGTTCTGTTGCCTGCGCTTGCCTCTGCCAGCTGAGACCTAGGAAAAATGAGAAGCAAGGCACAATCTGTTGAGACGCGTCGCGTTACGGACCGAGCCGCTCGATCTCCTCCTGATTGTGCTTGCCACCGTGAACGCTGACGCTGCTGTCATTTCAAACGCATCGCTGAACTGACGGTGACAGCCACGCGAAACATTGCGACGAACTACGAGGCCTCCGCTTCGCGAGCGCACCAATCTACGAGTGTCGCCCCCAACCAGGTCACGCCTGGTAGGATGGTCTTGCAGACGGTTCTGGCTACAGCACGGCGCAGAGGGTCGTCGGCCTGTAAACAGAATCGTGCAACTTGAACCAGACCTTTGGCAACTGACCACATCCGACTGACACCAGCGCTTCGGTTTAAAATGGGAATTTACAAAGTGTAACGTTGGCAGCGAGGGGCAACGGCCACTTTTACACGAGTGTTTTCCAGATACTGGTTTGCCTAATTCCTCTTACCAGTACACTACCATCAGTTGGCTGTGGATGTATTGCATTCTTTAGTAATTGTTACGGGTGCAATGAACCTTGGTAGCGAGGATTGCACTAGAGTGTTCAATGAGTACAAAATATGAGCGAATGCATGAGCAAATACTTGTACGCGAAAATGTGCAAACGGTAACGCGGTGCGTGCGAGCTAGCTAGTGCTATGCTGGCGCGAGGTTCGGGCTAGTCCCGAAGCGTAGGCCGACTCGGTTGTTCCAGCAGTGCGAGGTTTGGTGAAACAGTGCGCGCGAAGTTGGTGAAGCCCCGTTAGCAGTAACAGGCGAACAACGGCTGCTGCTATACGCGATGTGGACGGTCGCGGTAAGGTTTAGCGAGAAAATTCCTTACACTACCCCCCCTCAAGAAGCCCCCTCCGCTACGCGAGTGCGTGTATATCGTGGAAACCCCGGCTCCTCAGGTACACTTGCAGAGCAGGGTGGTTTTCGATGTTGGCCAGGGGCACCCAGCTATCCTCAGTTGGCGTGTGCAGTCCTTCCAGCGAACGAGGAACTCTATCCTCTTGATGCCAGTGGGGTGGCGAATGTCAGAATCAACTGTGCAAGAATGATTGACTAGCAAGCAAGGATGAGTACAAGTACTAGGTTTGACCTAAAGTGTTGTACTCAGTAGAGGCGCTAAGGGGACCGGGTGGGACGCGTGCGGGTGTAGCCTGTAGAAACAGATAGACCCGTCAAAGGTGACGTCCTGGGAGGAGAAGACTCGACGCTCGCGCGGGTGGTAGAACTGCCACGACGGGGCGTCGGTGGGGAAACCAAGGAAGACGCAGCGGAGAGTGCGAGAGGAGAGCTTGCTCGCTTTGACATCGCGAACAAGGGAGAGCGTGCCCCAGACCCGAAACACCGACGCATCGCCAAGCTTCCCCGTCCACCGGAGTGTGGGCGAGGTCTCTGGCTCAGAGACACGGGGCCAGAGGTTGAGCTGATGCACAGCGTATCAGACCGCAAACGGCCACAGAAAATGGGGAGCAGCCGCATGGATCATGGAGGTACGAGCAACCTCCATGATCAAGCCAATGCGACGCTCAGCAATCCCATTTTGCTGAGGAGAGGCCGGAAGCGTGAACGACTGGCGGATGCCCTCGTCTCGACAGAACTCCGCAAGGAGGTCAGAAGAGAACTCACCGCCCCTGTCAGAGTGCAGACGCAGGACTGGGAAGTCAGGACGAAACCGATCGCGCAGCTGGCGACGAGTAGCACGGATCCAGGGGATCAAAGCACCGCTGACGTCCGCCTTGCACCGCAAGGGGAAGACAGTGGTGTAGCGTGCGTAGTCGTCAACAACCAGCAGGAAGTAGCGTTCCTGGTCCGTTCCACCGACGGGGGCCGGGCCCCAAACGTCCATGTGGAGAGTCTGCAGAGGAGTAGTGGTCGGAGGAAACTCGGAGGAGTGAGGAGCGGCGTGCTGCCGCCCCTGGACGCAGGGAAGGCACGGCGAGGCAGGCGAGCACGGGAGGGAGGGCAGGGATCTGGGAAGCCCAAAGAAAAGGAGACGGGAGTGCATGCTGCGGAGACGCGGCAGCGAGGGGTGACCTAGGCAGTGGTGCCAGAGGAGAGTCTGGTGAGAGAGTTACCGACACGAGCAAGACGCTGCAAGCTGACCAGACGCAGACACCCGATTCGACGCAGACACCTGACCTGACTCAGCCACCTGTGCAAACGCAATGGTCAGGGTGTATAGACCGGACCCAGGCTGACGAGTGAACGTAGCAAGGTGACGGCCAGTCTGTGAGCACTTACAGATCGCCACACACTGTCCTCCAGGAATGAAGGTGTCAACCCGTTCATCCCGGAAAACTGCGTTGCTCAACAAGTTCGTCGAGAACGCGGGGAGGTGGAGACCTGAGAGAGACCCGGAGGGGACTGCCGGACACGGGAGGACAGTGGAGGCTCGCGCAACTACCGGGCCCCCAGTGGGGTCAGCCAGTGAGACTGGGACAGGTGCTGCGAGTGGTGTGACTGTGGTGCAATCACGAAAGAAGCAACGTGACGCGCCTGGGTCAAGCGTGAAAGTGTGCAAGGCCTCAGCTGAGGCAGGATCTGTGGCAGTATACGCACTAGCACTTAGAACGTCGACAGACTCACGAGCACCTAGAGCTGCAGCAGACTCACCAGCACTTGAAGCGATAACAGACTCACTAGAACCGAGAGCAGCAGCCTCTACACGACCAGGGACACATCGCTGAGAAGCACAGTCGCGAGGTCGCTGGGGCCACATAAACCCAAAAACTCCACCACCAGGACTACCTCACTGAATAACCCACTCAAGAAGCTGCTGAGGGGTGGGGTCGTCCGGGAGAGGCAGTGACCGCTGCTGTCCACCCCTAGCCACTGCAACTGCCGTGATAGTGACCATGACAGGCAGTGACGGTCAGTAGTAGGTCCAGCACCTCCAGCACCAGCAGCACCTCCAGTACTCCCAGCCGCACCTCCACCAGTAGCAGCAGTAGCACGAGCAGCAGCAGCAATAGTAGTAGCAGCAAGGCGGCTCGTTGGGGCTGGGCAGCGGCTCCTCCAGCACTCCCAGCAGCAGCAGTAGCACGAGCAGCAGCAGCAGCAGTAGTAGCAGGAGTGCGGCTCGGGCTAGGCGGCACGACTCGGCCTGGGCTGCGCTGTTCAGCAGGGCACAGCGCAGCAGTAGCAGCGCGCTGGGCAGCAAGGAGCGATGGGTTTTTGTTTTTTTTTTTTTTTTTTTAATGATTATTACTATTATTTAGGGTTGCGGGGCGCGCTGGCGCGCTGGGCTGCGGGGCGCACTTGCACGCTAGGCTGCAGGGCGTGCTGGCGTGCTTAGCAGCGGGGCTGCTCGCGGGCAGAAGGGGCGCGCAGGGCAGGGGCTGCTCGCGGGCAGCAGGGGCGCTCGGGTCAGGGGCTGCTCGCGGGCAGCAGTGGCGCGCAGGGCAGGGGCTGCTCGCGGGCAGCAAGGGCGCTCGGGGCAGGGGCTGCTCGCAGGCAGCAGTGGCGCGCGGGGCAGGGGCTTCTCGCGGCCAGCAGGGGCGCGCGGGGCAGGGGCTGCTCGCGGGCAGCAGGGGCGCGCGTTGCAGGAGCTGCTCGTGGGCAGCAGGGGCGCGCGTGACAGCAGGGCAGCGAGCTAGGGCAGACAGTGCGAGTAGCTGCAGGGCAGCGTGACACTGTGCGAGAGGGTCGGACAGCGCAAGGGCGCTTCAGGCAGGAACTAGCGGAACGATCTGTGGGCCCTAAAAACCTAACAGGTTTCTTGTTCTGAATACCATGTCAGAATCAACTGTGCAGGAATGATTGACTAGCAAGCAAGGATGAGTACAAGTACTAGGTTTTACCTAAAGTGTTGTACTCAGTAGAGGCTACCCAACTACAGCCTACACATACAAATGTAATTTGACAGTGAATCCGATGGCTCAGATTTTTTTCGGGCTCGATGATCGGCTCCGATGCAGGGCGAGTCATAGATGGCGAGCGGTGACGAGGCAGTTGGCTCGTGCTTGGGATGTAAGGGCGAAGCAGGCTGACGTGGAATGATGGGCTGATGTACCAGTCTAT